ATTGCTGCTTCAGTTCTTTTCAGCAATGATCAGCACAGAGGGGTTCCTGCTGTAGTTCTCTGAGCTGCTTTTGCTGGGATTTGCAGTGATCTATCTACTAGTATATACAACAGAAGGTACAAGAGAAAGACTCCTTCTTGGGTGGCTACTTCAAGACTGGTAGCCCCCAGATTTCACCTCCATTTCTTGGTGTGCACTGTCCATGTAGTTCTTTAAGGTCATGAGCCCATGCCACTGATGTAAAGAGGAATTTTGTCAGTGACTTAGGGATTGGGCCCTAAGTTCAATTCTGCAGCTTTCCTAGGCTCAGCATGATTTCCCATCAAAGCCTCCCTCAGCTTTACAAGAAACTTGTGGTTTTTCATAGTTTTTCAGTCCCTGAATAGTAACTGAGCCATCATGGGCAAAATGAGCCCATGAAGTTAATGACAAATTGCCGGGCATCTCAGACACCTAGCCTACAGACCAAGTCCAATAGCTCAGCCTTCCCTGCCCCCTTACTTGTCACATGTCCTAAAACCAACTTTGCTCCTGCAAGTAGAATCACACTAATAGGGTAACAGAAAGGAGAAGTGATATTATTAGGTTGACGTGAAGGAGGAATGGTTGCCCTTTACTTTCCTGTGTACTAGCCTACATGAATCAAAACTGTCCCCTATGTGTCCTCGGTCACTGTTGCCCTGGCTAGTGTTTGCGGTTTTGAGTTGGAAAATCCAATACATTGCACTCATAATCAACCCTCTGGCAAAAACAAATCCATACTTGGCATGGGACTGAGCTGCAGACTTTGGATCTAGATGTCAAACCCCTGTAGCTCCTGGGTGTTTGGAGTTATGTTTGAATATGAGGCCATCCCAAAAGGAGTACTTTATCAGGAAAGAGATTTCAGTATAATGTCTACCAATGAGTCCCTGGAAGCAGGGAGGAAAAGGAAGGTTTTAAACATAGTGACTAAGCCCTTTTAAATTATTGGCTCTCATAGAAATCTGTGCAAGGAAGACCTTACATGAAACAATACTGTGTTCTTGTTCAGACCAAAGCCGTCATTTTTAATTACCACTAGTTTACTTGTTAAAGATATGGTGTTATGCAACTGGGTTAACCCTTTGACAGAAATATGGTAGGAGAGAAAAACAGCTCTACAAAATGAGTATCTGCACTTAATTAGCATAAAAATGTGAAGAGAATGCATTTTGGAGACAGCAAGGTGGTTTTGTATGTAAAATGAAATGAAGCAATTAACAGTACATCCAGCAGTCGACTAAGGATATTCAAAAGTGAAGGATCAATGACACTTGAAGAGAAGCTCCTTCTAAATTCTCAGTCCTTTAATAGCATCAGTTTACATTCTTCTGCTAGATTAACTTCCTTTTTCTGCACACTGCAAGTCATGCTGAACTGAGTCTAAATGATTTGTGGCATGCTCTGAAGATCAAGTTGAGACAAATAAATCCATTGCCCTGCTGGGCTGCAAGTGAATTCAACTGCTGCCCACTGCTCGTTTTAGTCAGACCATGAACCCAGTGGTAGGAGAATGCAATTACATAGCCCCCATTCTCCAGAAGGATCACAGAGCACTTTACCATCTATGTGTTTATTTCCATTTTTCAGGGTGAAATGTGGCAGTAGTTTTAAAGCAATAATGTAGCAGTTTATTTCAGGAAATGATAAATCATCGGTGTATCCTTTGAAACCAGAGTCCAGTGTCTAGATAAGGAAAGTATATCTACCAGATGTCTTAGAGTCAAGAATGAGCATTCAGGTTCTTAGGAAGAACTTCTTGAAGTTTTGCTCAGAGGTTTCCCAATCAGTTCTTGATCAGACCTAAGTTTGAGGAGGCAACCTAATGAGATCCTAGGGCAAAGTGGTTTGGCAGCCAGCCATCCAACCACAGGAGGATTTTTTAAACACTCTGACCGAAACATGAAGAGAACACAGGAACTCATCATGTGGTTTTACCCCAGGATGCTGTCTCTTTTACTATAGTATCCTTGTCTGTTTATGACACGGAGAACGAAAAATACCATTGTAATATATGAAGAACTTATTTTAGTTATCACGACTCCTCAAAGCTACCTTTTTGACAATGGTGCTCTACATTTTTAGTATAATGTCAACTGTTGAATTTAAAAGGAAGCCTTTGTTAAAAGAAACAAATAGGGTAAAACTGAGTCCTTCAAGCCCCGTTCTTGGAAACATCAAAACTGATTTCAGTGGAGCAGGACTGGGTCTGTAAGAATCAACAAAATCCTCTTACATATAAAAGGGACATCTTACTGTCATGTAATGGGCTAAAAAACTACATTTGGGAAAGAGTGAGGCTCAGGGTAAGTTATGTGTAATATGAACAATATAAGATGTGCCTCAACAGTTCCCTTGTCATATTATCGTTGGTTAACCTTCTCAGTTCCCTTCTTTAGCTCTTCTTTGGAAAAAAAAATCTACTACTACCTGTCAAGCATAAGGGTAGCAGTTAAAGAGTGAATAATAATATTAATAATAATACATATGCAATAGTGGGGGAATCTGAGAACTCCACCTAATGAGCAGGTGAGGGGATTGATAACTCTCCTGAAATAAACCCCAGTGATTATTTAGGGGTTGCAATAATGTAAAGCTTGTAGCTCAGAGGGTGGTTCAATTATGTAGTATACAGTACAATTAACTGCTTGCAATTAGAACAAGTGCCTTAATTACTGTGTTTACATTTTGTAACCTCTTTGCTGAGATCAAATAGTGCCTTCTCTGCATATAAAGTTGCACGTAAACATATTTTACTTTCCACCGCTGATTCCTTTCCATATGCTAATTTGAAGAGCAGAGATTGAGTTTAGGGAATGATAGTTATTTGGTTTGGCTGAACATAAAGCAATAAAAGCAGCAAAGTTTTTACAAAGGCAAAACCCAGACTGAAATGATTTTATGCTTAATAAATATATATTATGATTTCTAATCTTTTCACACAGACACTCATAACTATTCCTTCTGTTTCTAGAGGTTCATAAAATGGACTTTATAGTTTAAATCCTCTTAAACTATGTGCTTTCTGATACTAATTTCTCATCCCTATGCATGTTGGTTAAAATATAGCTTTATCTGCCAAAGGCATTTTTGGCGATGTATATAAAAATTGCCTTTTAAGATTTGTGATATCACATCACAGAAGTAATGATGCAGTATTTCCAAATCTTGTGAAGCTGCTTCTGAAGTCAACAGCTGAGCTTCCAAAAACTGTAGAACAGTGGTTTTCAACCATGGACCCCTTATGGTCCACAAACAATATCTAAGGGGT